GGTGTCTCTGCAAAAGTATGCAGTCCACTGCATACATTCTACTTCGGCGCAACAATTCCGTGTCCACAATTCTGTCGCCCCAACCAATGCGCAGAATCCGTCGAGATATCGCTCGAGATATCGCACATCCCGCCAGTACATCGTCCACGTTTCACTGCCGTCTAGAAGAACGGACAGCACCATGGATTTGTACACCATCAGCTTCGTGCCAACGCTAAGCTGATGGCTGTTTGACACTCGGAACTCTAGCTTCCCGAATGCCGCCGCTGCCTTCGAGACGCGGTTAAGCAGCTCACTGTGCAGCTGCTGGTCAGTCGACATCACATTGCCAAGGTAGCAGAAGCGGGGGGTGGTTTCCAATATTTCAGCACCAATGCTGATTCGCGGCAATATTGAAGATTGCATATCCGGTGAAGGCTGAAAGAGACAGACAGTTTTGCTTGTGTTGATGATGAGCCCGAATTTGGTCGCTGTCGAAGCCAGAGCACTACTCTTGTGCTGCAACTCATCCGCGCTGTGTGCAAACAACGCACAGTCGTCAGCAAACTGCAACATACGGATAGTTATTCCACAGACTAGGGTTCACGCACGGAAAAGACGGATGTTCGGCAACCCACAATCTATACGGTGATCCACACGAACACCAGAAACACAAGCCGATTCAAAAGCACAAGACATCATGGCATGGAGATATACATTAATCAGGGCATGAGCTAAGACACAGACTTGCTTCACACCAGAGACGAATGCAATGTCTTCCGAGGTCTGTTCACTCAGCTGCACCCTCACTCGCATACCACTGTGCAGATATTCAACTAAACTTACAAGCTTCTCGGGCAACCAAACTTGCTTAACACCAGCTGTAATGCCTCGTGGTTCACGTTATCAACCGCTTTGGTGAAATCAACAAAAAGCAAGTGTAACGGCTGTTGTCGTTCTCTATACTTCTACTGTAACTGATGAGCCGCAAACACTATATCCATAATGTTGCGACCAGAACGGATTCCGCACTGCTCCTCCGCCACCTTAAGTTCCACAACCTGACTGACGATGCGGTTAAGCAGGATTCGAGTCATCAGATTTCGCACACAGCTCAACAAGTTGATGTCACGATAATTCGTGTAACACCGCTTGCTCCCTTTGCCCTTGTACAGTGGAAGCACAATGCATGCTTCAGTTCAGTAGTCACCTCCTGCAGAGCTGAGCACGTGCTCTCTGCTTCTCATCCGGATTTGGCGTGCCAGCCAGACTCGCCTTCACAACGTATTGCTTAAACCTGTTCAGTGTTATCGTAAGCCAAAGTGACTTGCACATTATTCAGCACTGGATTCTCGAATGTCGTTGCTGTCAGCGATTGTTTCGCGTAAAGTACGCATCCTCCTCCTTGACGACACTGCCGATTTCTCATAAACATATCATATCCGAAAATGGTTAGCTGGGTGTTAGACATGTCGTCATGGCACCACGACTCAGTTATAAATATTATGTCAGGATCGGTCACAGAAACAAAAGAGCGTAGTATGTGGATCTTGGAATGAAGCGAACGAATATTAATCAAAAATATTAACATAGATGCGAGATGTGAAGAATGTTGTTTATGCTGCTTTATGAACATTGGGTCTGATAGCTTTGTGTCTGTGCCCATGCCAAAAATTGGTGAAACAAGGCGTGCATTGACACCTTCGTTGAAAAGGGATTGGGAGGTAGCCACAGGGGAGGGGGTTGTGACTGAGTATGGCCCTGTAGAAAATGGGATACGGGGGGCGGGTCCATGGTTGGCATAGCAGCTCATGAGGGCAGGAGGATTATTGAGCGGACTTCCATGGAACTCGCTAGTAGACGCTAAATTTCGAGGCTGTGTCGCCTGCGTCGTGGCACTAATAGGTTGTTGATTGTATAGATTGGTGAAATGAGTAAATACGCAATCGTCATTTTCATCGTGGAATGTAACCTGCTTAGGTGCGCTGGAGTCGTATGGCTTCAATATAAGCGGTGGAGGCACACTAGTGTCAATCCATGCAGCTCGAACAGAATACATAGTGTTTTTTAAACATGAGTCCGGATTTTGGTGATAAACAGATAAATCGCGTTCAATCTGCAAAGATGTTGGGGCACCTTGTGTGCCTTCATGGCCTTGATCAATGGATGGATGGCTATTCAGGCAAGGCGATGCTATGGATTTATCCGGTGACATTCTCGATAAATCCAAGTCAACCGTCATAATACAATCGATCCATTTTCCTGAGTCCTTAGATGTCTTAGATGATCCTATATACTGGCCAGGGTAGACTTTTGGCGGGATAACACAGGCTGAAGTTTGTGGCTGTGATTGAATATGGGGTTCAACGGGTACTGCAGTTGGTTTTGTCTGAACCACATTGTTTCCTCTTTTCTGGCATGAAACAGCATTGAAGAAGCTTTTAAGATTACCGGAACTGGCTTTTTGAGAGGCAGCACCGTGCACAACCGCAGCGCTGGGGTTTGCAGGCATTTTTGTGTTTGGTCGGTTTATCACGCTTAACCGTGAAATTTCGTTCTGGTGGATGTGTGCCGGTGATCAATTTTGTGGCCGGCATGGCCGAAGTGCCGAAACTGGGCGTACTCCTAGACACAGCAGATAACGGGCTAGACTGATCCGTGTGATCAAGCGATCTAATTGGGGTACCAGAGTTGATTTCGTTATTCGCCACGTTATCCGTAACTGCAGCAGGCGTGGAACAAATGCCAAACTTGTCGCTGCCACCAACAGAAACATTTTCAGAATGGGGTTTAGCAGTCGGGTTTGCTTCTAGCTGTCGTCTTCTAAGCTCCCGTTGTAAGGGGGTTTTGTCCTCTATTATTTTCAGACGTTTGAAATTCGTATTATGCTGAATCAAATTGTAATTTCGAATGAATTGTCTAGCAATTAGTTCATTTTCAAACTGGAATAGTATGGGACAGTCATAGCGTATAAACTTTTTACGTAGCCTAGTGCAGTTGGACCAACAAGTTTGCATGCCGCACGCAGACAGTAGAACTCTCTGAACAGTTTTCATAGGTAGCTTGTCAGGTACATTAAAAACCACAGCATTGCGTGAGCAACGTACTCGATTCTGTACTTCGGTCGAAATTGAGTCAATCAGCGAGCTACATTGCGTGATAGGCATTTTACCAATATCTGAGAACGATTCAAATAATGCAAACAGACTATGCATGGGCTGCAGCATAGATGTGAGCGTGTCAACTTTTAATGATAGTGCAGTGTACGCGGTTTCAGCTACAAAGGGACATTTTTCAGATGTCTTTTTCAGGTCAGCAAGAAATGCACAACCACCTGTCACAGCGCCTACACTCTTTCGGGTGCTTTTTCTGCTACTACCGCCGGATGTTTTGCGTGGTTCCTTAGTTTGTTCGCTGAGCTTCTGAACTAAGATGGGGACATCCTTGTTTACAACACAACTTTTTCTCATCGCGCGTGTCCTTACTGCAGACATGAGAGAAAACCAAACGTAAGTTTCACGATAACAAAAATAAAAAATTGCTCTGAGCGTGGTCGCTAACTGTTAATAGTGAGAAAGTGAAACCAGAAAATTGGACGAATCAGTGAGGAACAGAGGGAACGCACCGCAGTTGACTAGCAAAATCCACGCCTTCGTGTAAGTTGTGCACGTCTGTCACCAATGCCCTTTGTCTCCCGACGGCTCAGCGTCAGGTCAGTTGCAAAGTTGATTTCGTGTCACGACTGGCCACGCACACGGTGCGCTCGGGTCACGTGTTATCGGATCACGTCGGCGAGATGCGTCAACCAGGCGAACGACTTGCGATTTATCAATCGATTCACGGCGCTGTTGACTTTCGGGCGGTGTTTGTCACCGTTAGCTTTTTCGCAATGCGTCAACGGTCACACTGTTGGCAGTAGATTTTTTCGATATCTAGCTTGTATGAAAGCCAATCGAGATGGCTAAGGGTTTGTTCGATGGCACTCGAATTTGTCTTGCAGTTGAGACCAGAAATAGTCTTGTCGAGTTTAGAATAGACGGAAGGCACTAAAAGTGCCGATTGACGAAAGATGGTAATCCGTAGAGAAGCAGTTTGTCACAGTTTTTGCAGAAACCGACAGGAATATATCCAAAAAAAACTGCAACACTAGATTCCTCACACGCAATCCAATGAAATGATGTATGAAGCTCCAAGTTGCGGCGAGTTTGCACGAAGTAATCAAGCAAATTGTCAGAGCTCACTGTAACGCTCACCTGCTGCGAAGTAGTACGCGACTCAGATAGCTTTCCTTGCTGATTATATCATCGTACACTCGTGCTGCGCTTATAACGTGATGCATATGTTGTTACAGACTTGTGCCAGAAACTATGGGACAACCTACCCCAGAGAAGTTCAATAGAGTTGTAAAAACGGTTTTTCGGCGTTCATGCTGTACCACGTTGCGTTGCTTCACTGCTTGGGAGGTTCACATCCATCTCGTACGTGTGTATGATACAGATTAGCGAACACGTTTTAACAATTGGAATATGTTAGGCCCCTGCTCTCGTTCGAACCAATCGCGTTTCCTCGTGTTAATGCAGCGTCTATGCCTAACGACTCCTAATTAGGCCCAGAATTTACTGGCCGTCATGAGTAAGTAATAGCATTATTGTTCAGCATGTTGGTGATAACCAAGTGGTCACACTTCGCTCTTCCGTTGTCCTAACTAGAGACCACTCAACACTGACTGAAATAAGGATACTTCACAGTTCTCTGAATGTTAAACTAAATTTTAACAATGTAAGAAATGAGCATGTCGAGCCATGAACTGAAAGCGTGCAGTAACAATCAGACAAAGCTTTTTTCTTCAGGTTCGTACGTTGTGAGAATGCATTCCCTACAGCAAAATGACCCGCTTGAATTGCCGTTCCATATTATCAGATCACGGACAAAAATAAACGCTTTGCACCTATTCTAACCAATGACAATCAGCCATTTTGCCACTTGCTGGTAGATGAAAAGTAGAAAATGAATAGACACACTTGCTTGGTTAAGTATTCCTTATCACTTTGGAGCAGTCGCAATTGTTGAAGAATAGGCTGAATCACTTGATTGGAATCGGTCTTCGGCCCGTTGACTGGGGTGAGAAAGTTTTCGTTCGATTCTAGAAGATTAGCTCCAAACTGTGCTTCGGGAGCCCAGTCCACGTGGTCAGTTTGCGTTGAATGAGTTTTCGTGAGTGGGAGTCCGTGATCTACCTTTGTGACAAGTACGAAATCAGTAATAAGTGACTAAAGCACTTAAAATGAACCAATCAAAACAATCACTGCCGGAAACTAACACGAAATTTCTTCATTTAGAGGTACCCATCAAATAAAAACTCACTCATCTCATCTTCAAACTGGTATCACAAAAGTTGCTTCCCCATGAGCCAATTGAGTATAATTATGGTGGCAATACCCTAACTAGTTGCTGTGGCGGAAGCAGTGTATCCGATAAATCCGCAGGTTGTTATTTAGCTAGTTACACCATTGGCGAAACTACGTCGCAGTTCATGGTACTGACAGGACAGCATATATGTAGGGGCTACGTGAACCAGCAATGGCGTCTTTTCGCTGGATCTTGTCCGTAAAGGACCAAATTTTAACACACCTGAATAGAAAGATCCGCTTGTAATTTCGGTTCAACAAACCGAACGACAATGGCTCGCCGAACAACCTCCACATGGTGCCAACTAGGTGGTCCGGGTTAGTCCTGTTCCAGTGAAAGGTACGGCCGCAGTGTTCCAGGACGTGATGAGTATTCGCCTGGCAAGCGTTCTCCCCATATGAAACACAAATGACTGTTTAACGAAAAGGTGACTTGGCGGATAGGACTCTATCCTAAATAAAGTCAATTTATTGATATTCCGGAGAATCTTACGCCACTCACGAACGTCAACCACTTCGACGAATTTACTTGAACCCTTCCTGACGCCTTCCTGGCGAATTCGCCAAAAAGACACAAATTCAGAAACAAAGTAACAAATATACTCTGCATGATTACTTACACACACATGGCTGTCGGCATCCGGTTTCGGAGTTGTCACTCCCGGTGGACAGCCATTTGACGACTGCGAATAAAGAGGGACCATGGGGGACTTGCGCTGTACCATCCACAGATCCAAACACACACCCCATATACAGTGTTAACCCGAAGAAATAAGACTGCGAGGCATGTGGATGGGAGCCACGTTTCATCAACGGAGCCGGCCCATACCCTTTCACAGGCAAACACAAGCACGCTGAATTTGGGAATCAAGCGCACACAAGGCGGTGGCTGAACCGTGGTCTGCTCCACACTGATAATAACATGGCCACAAGGACCGTGCACCCCGTCCCCTCCATCGGCAACCAACTGTCTGTAGCCAGTATGTATCCGGGAAAAGGTAAAAACATAAAAGAAAACAAATATTTTAGCAATAAATCGATTAACTCTCATTGTGCATTAAATTCAAAGATTCCGGAACCTTCCATTACTTCACGGGATCGCCAGTAAACGGATGGGAGCCACGTTTCATCAACGAAACCGGCCCACACTCCTTCACAGGCAGACACAAGCATGATGTATTTGGTGAATAAAGTACATACAAGGCGGTGGCTGGACCGCTTAACATGACCACATGGATCGTGCACCCTGTCCCTACAGCAAAGACCAACTGTCTCATGGATGATGTAGTGGATACTAGACGGGTAGGCACCTTATAACATGCACATCAAGCGCAGCCACACCGGGAATGTCAAACAACATCTAATCACATGAAGCGACGATACCAAGTAAAGTAAAGCGAATAATACATGCAGATAAGGAGATATAACACTCCACTAAATAAGCGAGCAAATTAAATTGGTGCCAAAAATTCGCGAAAGGTTTAGTAGTCAGAAAATATATTTTAAGAAAATGCCACAAAAAGGAAAATCTTATGGAAATTAAATGCAGCAAACATCAGCAACTTGTGCAGGTTTATGGAAGGTAGTTCAAGTAGACACTACCATGAGAAAGACAATCATTAGGACAAAATTGAAAACCCACCACCTGAAATAAAGAGACTCAGCATGCAAGCACGCGGGTTGTAAACCGAACGCAGCGAAACTACAAACACTGCGCCGATTCTGCCTACGTTCTCTGCAGGACGCGTCGTCGCATCGGCGGTGGCACCGAGTAATCTCGCTCATGGCTCCCTAGGCTTGCCTGACTTAGGCAATCGCGACCGTATGTTCCACAACAAAATGCGCTCGATTTCGATGGAGTACAACCCATCGGCGCCGGTCCTTTGCGACTTGACGCCACTTCTTTACATGCATGAGGGCTTTCTCCCGTACCTTGGCATCGGCCTTCGTGATCAGATCGCGCCATGCTCGTCGAGTAACCGCTTTCGAATCCATTGAGCTGCAATCAAGCGTAGCACATGGTAGGCTCACTTGGATCATGTCCTAGTAACGAAGCTTCGGTTTCCGCACATGACGCTTCCCTATACTCAGCTGACCATACAATAGTTGTTTCGGTATTCGCGTCGAACACATACTGCTCACATGACCGAACCACCTCAGGCGTCACTGCAAAATTATGCAGTCCACTGCATACATTCTACTTCGGCGCAACACTTGCGTGTCCGCAATTCTGTCGCCCCAACCAATGCGCAGAATCCGTCGAGATATCGCACATCCCTCCAGTACATCGTCCACGTTTCACTGCCGTCTAGAAGAACGGACAGCACCATGGATTTGTACACCATCAGCTTCGTGCCAACGGTAAGCTGATATTTGTTCCATACTCGAATCTCGAGCTTCCCGAATGCCGCCGCTGCCTTCGAGACGCGGATACGCAGCTCACTGTGCAGCTGCTTGTCATTCGACATCAGACTGCAAAGGTAGCAGAAGCGGGAGGTGGTTTCTAATACTTCAGCACCAATGCTGATTCGCGGCAATATTGAAGATTGCACCTCCGTTGAAGGCTGAAAGAGACAGACAGTTTTGCTTGTGTTGATGATGAGCCCGAATTTGGTCGCTGTCGAAGCCAGAGCACTACTCATGTGCTGCAACTCATCCGCGCTGTGTGCAAACAACGCATAGTCGTCAGCAAACAGAAACATACGGATAGTTGTCGCACAGACTAGAGTTCTCGCACCGAAACGACGGATGTTCAGCAACCCACCATCTATACGGTGCTCCACACGAACACCGGAAGCACAAGCCGATTCAAAAGCACAAGACATCATGGCATGGAGATATACATTAATCAGGGCAGGAGTTAAGACACAGACTTGCTTCACACCAGAGACAAATGCAATGTCTTCCGAGGTCTGTTCACTCAGCTGCACCCTCACTCGCATACCACTGTGCAGATATTCAATTAAACTTACAAACTTCTCGTGCAACAATACTTATTTTATACCAGCCACAATGACTCGCAGTTCACCGAGTCAAATGCCTTGGTGAAATCAACAAAAGCGAGCACAGCGGCTGGTGTCGTTTTCTGCATTTCTCCTGCAGCTGACGAGCCGCAAACACCATATCTATAGTGCTGTGACCAGAACGGAATTCGCACTGCTCTTCCGCCACCTCACGTTCTACAACCGGACTGACGAGGCGGTTAAGCAGGATTCGGGCAACCAGACTGCGCACACAGCTCAGCAAGTTGATGCCACGATAATTCGTGTAACACTGCTTGCTTCATTGCCCTTGTACAATGGTAGCACAATGACAGCTTTCAAGTCAGTGGTCACCTTCTCCTCAATCCGCACGCGTTGCACCAAGTTGTGTGGCGCAGTCACCAACGCGGATCCGCTGTGTTTCGATACTTCAGGCAGGATCCCTTCGGCACCAGCACACTTGCCGTTTCGCAGCTGAGCATGTGCCCTCTGCGTCTCATTCAGACTTGGCATGCCAGCCAGACTCGCCTTCACATCGTGCTACTTGAGGCCGTTCTATGTAGGCTAGTCGATCGCTGGACGGTTGTTCAAGAGACAGTCAGTGTTTCCGCCAGATCGCACTATCTCTGCAGTCTGCTTGCAGGTATCGCCTGAGCTACCGTCGATCAGCGTCCTTAGCCGCTCCAACCTCGGTGTATACACCGCTTTCAAGGAGTCAAAGCATTCCTTGTGTTGGCCGCGGTCGGCGTAGCATTTCATCTGCTTCTCCTTGCACATGGTTGGCGGCATCCGTGTCCCGATTTGCCTGTCACTGTGGCCAGACACAAGACGCCTGCGCCTACAGAGCACCATCGGTGGTTTGCGCTGCACCATACCCAGCTCCATACACACACCCCATATCCAGTATGAACCCGATGGAATAAGACCGGGGGGCATGTGGATGGGAGCCACGTTTCATCAACTGAGCCGGCCCACACTCCTTCACAGGCAAACACATCAAGCTCTAGTTGGTGAATAAAGCGCACCCAAGGCGGTGGTTGGACCCTGGTCTGTTCCAAAGTGAATGCATGGAACCCATTTTCGAGCCTAACATGGCCACAAGGACCGTGCACCCCGTCCCCTCCAGCCACGACCGATTGTCTCCTAGAGGCAGCATGGACGAGCTAGTGGGTAATTGACAGGTAGGCACCTCGTCAACATACACATCAAGCGCAGCCACACCGGGGATATCAAGCAACAGCCAATCACTTCAATCGACAACATAAACTTAAATAAACCCATAATGCATGCAAATGCGGTGACATAACTCTTCACTAAATTAGCATATGGACTTTATTGTTTAGCAACAAATCCGCGATAACGAAAACAGGTCCACATGCATATGTCACACATGCATACATACATAAATTTAGTAGGTACTAGTTGCCTTGATATTTGGGTACATTTGCCGAGTAAACGCGTCTGTATTGCTATGATAATGCCTTTTTGGACGTGTCTCACACTGTCCAATATAAAACTGATTTTTTTTATTATTGCGTACCGATTAAATCTATACAACTGGTTTGTAAAAGCATCCCAGGCAATTATTCCTTAACTTTCATGGGATATATTATTATAGTTCACTGCTTCTGTTGTCAGTCTTTTTTCTTCGTTACTGTGCGTCTTCCTGCAACTCGACAGGAAGCATCGATAATTTACTGTGCATATCCCTACGACGAAGGTAGTGAAATAATTTGGGTTTGAGGCTTGAAGACTAACTTCAACCAATCAGCATCCAAACACATCGGAAAAGCTTTCAACTTTGAGTAGACATTTTGGAACCTATCAGCAGGAACCCATGTCAGTCAGTCACTTAAGTCAAGTCAGCAATGTGCTATAGGCGTTCTGCAGAAGCAAATATTTAGATGCGGCTGAAGAGTTTGTACCACACTGAATAACACCCCGGATTAATGGGATGGAATTACAAAAGATGTAATTAGCCGGTAAATGCTAGCCGTTAATTCCAGCCTTCTTGCGTTTATTGAGTTGAATGAACATTAACGGCTTCATACAACATTGTCACCTTCACATTTGCCTACCTGTGCACACGTGCACATGAATCCAGTTTGCAAATGGTTAACTTGTAACCAATTTGTACCATTACCGACCTTTCGTTTTGCTTTTACCATGATCATGCCTATGCAGGCGTGTCTCGATCTGTTTAAATAAACAATTCATTTATTTGCATAAGAGTAGTAAGGGGAGTTGAATGGTATAGGTAGAAATTCATCACATCTATTGTTATAAGCACCTCAGGGAGTAAAAAGCTCTTTATACATACTATAATGCTTCGTCGGTTACCGTGTTCTTCAGAAACAGCGGGTCCTGAACCATCCTTTTCGATTCTTTTGGCTTCAGCTCCTCTGGTAAGTTGTTTTCTCAGCAAGTTTAATTCCTTAATTAAAAGAAATTGCACATGTATTTTTACGACTGAAAACATGATACCAATTCACGGCATTTTAAAATCAAACCTGAGCAGATATATCGTTGTTCACCACGCAACCAAAGATTTCTGAATCTAGAAAATGAGGACTTGTCATCACGAATTCCTACGCGCTTGTTAAAGAAGTTTGTCATAATCGTCAATGAATCGGATTTGCGTGATACATAGGTGCGACACTAATGAACCATATTGCTGAGAAGTGTGGACAGCAGCAGAGCAGAAACCAGGACTAATGACAAAAGGATTTTTAGACTGGAACGAATACCTCTGAATGAATACCAAATATTGGCTAATTATCTTTCCGGCCTTAGTCGTCACAACGTCAGATGTAGTCGTAACGCAATTAGTTCCCGTTATCGCACCATGCATGTGCACTACGCCATACAGAAAATCTTCCCCTTCAAATTCCTTCATCTTCATGTAAATTTGAAGCTCTCTGATCCCTCGTAGCTTGCATTTAGCTCCTACTCATACAACAATATGCTAATTTTCATTATTTCTTTATGGTTATTTTCCCTGTGTACAGTTTAATGCAGCTTCCTTAGCAATAGTTGAACTTTCAATTTTTAATAGCATAAGGTATTAATCATTGCAATTCCCTCAGGTTTACGCTTATTTCCAGCTCATAACTGAATCTCTGACAGTTATAACAATTATTCAGATTAATGAAATCTATTACGAACGATAGAAAACTGATGGTTGTTACCTTAATTGAAAGAACTATAGTTTAGTTTACATCGTCTTTATTCAGCTCCCTAGGTTAGGCTAGTAACTTACTTGTTCCAATAGCATGTATGGTATGCAAAGTAACAAGACCTAATGCTTGACTAGGACCACACAGGTAACAAAGAACTTGCTTCACTCTTTATCTCAACCTACAGACATTGACGAGGTCCGTAAATCTGATGAGGATTTCATCCCAGTAATTCACAAGCTACAGCGCAGAGACTAGTCCGGAAAAGCACCAGACCCGTTTCACCCTATTGGGGCTCGTCAGTGGTGCGCATTCCCTCGGTCCACTAAGGAGGATCCAACCCATGACCGCTAGAGGCAGATGCCAACTAACCAGCAGCTTAAGCCACTGAACCATGGGGGACGTTGGCTGGGCTACATAATTTGCAAAACTAACTGGGATATAGCACCACCTATCTTCCACTGACACTGACAGTGGTTAGCCTGCGAGGTGATATCCACTCTCGAGACGCTTTATCCAGGGCATTTGAAACTGATAGATGCTGTCTTTATTTTATATTACTTGCGAGTAGCAGGGCTTTTATTGTAATTCTGATAAGGACCGTAAATGTCTGGATAATCCGAGAGGCCACTCTAGTTATGCAAACCGCCAATCACCGTACGTTTGAGAAGAGTCTTTCGTTTTTGCTCAGTCGACGCGCAGGTCAGGGGTAGATTGGAGCGCACTAATTTGCCGACCCACCAATGGCATGTAAGTCTACTGTATTTACTCATCCACGCATGTCTGGGGGTGTGAATATGACGTGCGGACGCATTGCGGTGCATGTGTCCTTGAAATATGTTAATGACCCTCGTCGATTTTGACACCGGCCAGTTCAGATTGGGTCGATGCCGACGTTTTTGGCTGGTGGTTTGCAACATCTCGACAGCAGTGCATAATGCACTGGCTACCGTGTTCAAATGTTGATGGCGCTTCGACAGTTGCTTAATGTTATCCCAGCAAATGATAAAAGGGTTAGTGACAACGCTGTTGTAGACTGAATGTTACCTTCATATAAACCACCTTAGCAGAATAAGAATTCGTAACAATTAGGCGGTGAAAATATGAGATGCTACTTCTGCATAAATGAGTCCGGAACAATGTCTACCAGCTACTGGAGGCTCATCGGATCTAGTTGCAAGTGCGCGGCCGCCTAAGGAGTTAATTCCAGCAGAATACAGAAATAAAAAGAAAGCTGAGTGCAGTGGCTTTTGAACAGATTTTATCAAATCTCATTTTATTCCATCAGCTTGGACAATTAAATCAAAATCCGTTTCGCAATGAGCACGAGAAGGAATTTTACCGTATTGGTATGGTAAAAGAATCCTAAAGTAGATAAAGAAGCGTTTAGGTCAAATCTAATCACCCATTTTAGAAAGAAAGGTGATGGAAGAATCCAGCGCGTACGATGCATTTATTTGATGAAACCAGTCTGTTTACGGCTGAATATTCAAGCGTTGTAGGTGTATTAAGCATTTTATTGACTTGACTTGAGTTCCCCGCCTTGGCAGACTTGAATGTTTAAATATTCCTTATCGCCCAGATACGTATCCGGCCAATTTGGAAAACCTTAATATGCCATCGTACTAGAATTTTTGGTATTTTAAGTATCCATGGAAACTGTGTAAATAGATCACTGAGGATTCACGCTCAACCGTTTGTTCCACGGTCATGACACATTCAGTAGTTGCGAATGACTTAACAAGCGTAAAAGTATTGCCCATTAGTTAATTTCCGGTGGCCGGTGGGACTCTCTGGGACTCTTTTAACTTCCGATATAATTCCACGGGATGTACAGCTGAGCGGCTAATCGTACTCCCACAACGACAGAACAACAACAGATCATGGTGACGTGCTGGTATAGATTTGTTTTCCCATTTCGTTAGACTGCTGCTACCAAAAGAAATGCGGATGTTCTACGTGTGCCCTAAAGCTCGATCCACCTGAGTGTTGGCGAAATGTGGGTGGGTGAGATTTACTGTTTTATGTGAAGCTGCCGTTTGCACTAGTTGCAAAATACCCAAGACAAAATGAACCGTAATCGCTTTCAGCTCATACGTCCTTTTGACACGTCAAAGAAATTGAACAGGGGTTCAAATTCCCTACAGGCCTTGTGAACTGGAAGCAGAGAGTGCGGAGATGATATCTGAGATTGGGGCAGCACTACACGTCTGCTGGTGGACTCGCACCAAACCGCAATCAGATCCCTCATGTATGAATTTGAAGTTGACGAGCTGCTAACAACTTGTCGTGGAGTGTGAGGCATGAATCCAGTAATACCTAGTGAACATCCAGTGGCCCTAGCTTGGCGAAAGCTGCTGCTGTCACACTCGCTTCCGTAGCAGTCATCCTAGGAATACTGTAAAATGGCTTCCATGAACTTACCTGAGCTACAAATCAAGTGGACTGGTCACTACAGCAAGATTCATCTATCGAAGCAATATAGGCAATCCTAAAGGAGTATGGAAAATGATTGTGCGCAAGATCCGTACCCCTCAATTATCAGATGGTTGCACTAATGAAACTAAAATGGTTCGACAAGTATATTTTATTTCATTAGACATTGACGTGTACTAAGGAATAAATTCAGTCCGATGGGTTCTGCCGCCGATTACGTGGTGTCATAATCATGGCTGATTTCACGCAACAGCACCAGTGTTCAAAAATCCCAGCCACAACGAAGACGACCCACAAGAGGATCATTCATTAAGTGACGCTGCACTTGAGGAGTACAGATGACGGAGCAATGTTAAAGGGTTCAGCCGGACAGTCCCTGACTTCCAGGAGGGACCATGCGTCGGCACTTGTGGTGCACTTCAATTCCTTATTCGCAAATATTTAGGAGGCGGTACAGAGTTTGATTTGTGTAGGCCCTGCCCCTTTTGACAGAAGAATTTCGGCATAGTAGATGCTCGCAAGATATTCATTGGTAATTGGCGGTGCTTCACATGCTATACCTAACGATTCGCATTTACTTGTCTGCTTCAAATCTGTGCGAATCATGTTCCACATTGAGATTGCGGGTCGCATTGTGGGTTTGGTAGCATCCACCATTCAAATATGCTTCACTACTTGTCGGTTTGACGCATGTCCTCGCAAACCATTGCTGGTCAGGTTTTAGACTAAGATGAGAACATTGCAGAATGCTGAACTGGAAAAACCAGGTTAACTTGCCAACAAAAGTAATTTGATGGCTTATCAGTTCGTCTTCATTTCGGAAGGAAGAAGTGATCGTTGGAGACAATGAGATTAACGATTAGCGAACCATTAGCAATTTGTAGGTCTGTTGAAAAATGCAAGACTTGATAAGGCGCAAGCTTAACAGTTTATTTGTAACCAGTCATACGGAATAAAATATTCACCATACTTAATTGATTGTCACTTTCTATCTTTGTCTGCTATTCTATGTTGCTCTCATAAGTTGATCTCGCAGTCCACTGTTACGTTAATTCTGATGCAATTGATGTATTGCTTAGTTTTGAATAATTTTATATCCATGGAACCCGCAGTTGAAACACTTTAACCGTGCGTCAGTTCCTGGACGACACATTCGGTCATCGATGGATTGGTCGGGGAGGACCAATGGAGTGGCCGGCACGTTCACCGGATATGAATCCCCTTGATTTCTTCCTTTGGGGATACCTGAAACGAAGAGTTTATAAAGTGAAACCCACGTGTGTGGAAGAACTGAAGCGGAGCATCGTGGAAGAATGTCGCGCGATATCGGTTGACGCATTGCAGAGGGTTATAGCCAACAGCATCCGGCGAATGCTGCTGTGCCAGCAAAACGGCGGTGGACATTTCGAGCATCTACTGCGTTGATTGATTTACTTGTTTTACGTACTGCATTTCAATACATCTGTCGCATAACCATTGACTTCAGGACTAAATCGCTGCTATGGCTAATGGTGCCGATATTGCGTCAGTGTGGAGGGAATATTGTGGGAGTTGCCTGAAGAGAACAAGACGTTAACGTGAGCAGCGTACACGGAAGAAATCGTTGTACCTATAGATGGGCCTCAGCGCCGAAAGGTCTCGTTGGCCGACAGGGTTGGGGTGATAACACTGGCTAGATCGTAGATAAACATACCATGGCATTCCACATAGCCCGTCAATGCGTCGGCCAGAATTTCTTCCATAACTTTGGCGAACACCGGGAGAAGATGACCGGGCGGTTATTGGCAGGCTCGTACCGACTTGCTCCCTTGTGAATAGGTTTGATGAAACCTAGTTTCCACTTTGACCGAGCTATGTTGCAGTCCAGAGATGGCTGAAATAATCCGGCTAGGTGCGTGATTGTTACCTTTAGTGCTTTTGGGGTGGATATTGTCCACTCCAAGAGATCTGTGTGCAGGCAAGGGTAATGGCATTTTCAGTACCGTTTCCGCAGTGAATGTTACGCCGGATCAAACTGCTACTTTGTGCACTTGTCCTCACGCACCAAGTGCACAGAGTCGTCCGCCTGAGTTGCGTACACCGTCCAATTTTCTGAACTGCGATTGTTTCTATAACCATGCCAAGTCCGGTCCCTCAAGGCCATATATTTTCGTGTTCGGCTTCTCTGAAAAGATTTCGTTTTTAGGGGAGGATGAAAAGCTTTCGGTTCTGATGCCTTCGCGACTAGGGATGTGAACGTGCCCACAAATTTGTCCCAAGCTGTTTCTGGAATACACAGACAGGGTGCGATTATGTGCAATTGATGGCATCTTCTTGGGCTTAGCTTAGACACAGCTCCTCGATCGTTTCTGTGAAATGACGCATACAATGCGATTTCATCAACAGTCCTTATCCACAAACACGTGCAGCGAGTAGTTCCTTAATTGGCATACACGGCAGCATGTAACCATCATTTCGTTTGATATACACCTACGTTTTCCTGAGAGATTGAGCGACACTGTCAGCCTTTCATGTTACACCGTCACGGTCACTGTTATACAAATTAGGCAGCGTGCACCCCACTTGGTTCCTGCAATTGCTATCAAGACTGTGACGGGAGTAGTCTGTCAACGACAGCTTTTCCGGACTCATTTATGCAGAAGTAGCATCTCATATTTTCACCGCCTAATTGTTACGAATTCTTATTTTGCTAAGGTGGTTTATGTGAAGGTAACATTCAGTCTACAACAGCGTTGTCACTAACCCTTTTATCATTTGCTGGGATAACATTAAGCAACTGTCGAAGCGCCACCAACATTTGAACACGGTAGCCAGTGCATTATGCACTGCTGTCGAGATGTTGCAAACCACCAGCCAAAAACGTCGGCATCGACCCAATCTGAACTGGCCGGTGTCAAAATCGACGAGGGTCATTAACATATTTCAAGGACACATGCACCGCAATGCGTCCGCACGTCGTATTCACGGAAGCGAGTGTGACAGCAGCAGCTTTCGCCAAGCTAGGGCCACTGGATGTTCACTAGGTATTACTGGATTCATGCCTCACACTCCACGACAAGTTGTTAGCAGCTCGTCAACTTCAAATTCATACATGAGGGATCTGATTGCGGTTTGGTGCGAGTCCACCAGCAGACGTGTAGTGCTGCCCCAATCTCAGATATCATCTCCGCACTCTCTGCTTCCAGTTCACAAGGCCTGTAGGGAATTTGAACCCCTGTTCAATTTCTTTGACGTGTCAAAAGGACGTATGAGCTGAAAGCGATTACGGTTCATTTTGTCTTGGGTATTTTGCAACTAGTGCAAACGGCAGCTTCACATAAAACAGTAAATCTCACCCACCCACATTTCGCCAACACTCAGGTGGATCGAGCTTTAGGGCACACGTAGAACATCCGCATTTCTTTTGGTAGCAGCAGTCTAACGAAATAGGAAAACAAATCTATACCAGCACGTCACCATGATCTGTTGTTGTTCTGTCGTTGTGGGAGTACGATTAGCCGCTCAGCTGTACATCCCGTGGAATTATATCGGAAGTTAAAAGAGTCCCAGAGAGTCCCACCGGCCACCGGAAATTAACTAATGGGCAATACTTTTACGCTTGTTAAGTCATTCGCAACTACTGAATGTGTCATGACCGTGGAACAAACGGTTGAGCGTGAATCCTCAGTGATCTATTTACACAGTTTCCATGGATACTTAAAATACCAAAAATTCTAGTACGATGGCATATTAAGGTTTTCCAAATTGGCCGGATACGTATCTGGGCGATAAGGAATATTTAAACATTCAAGTCTGCCAAGGCGGGGAACTCAAGTCAAGTCAATAAAATGCTTAATACACCAACAACGCTTGAATATTCAGCCGTAAACAGACTGGCTTCATCAAATAAATGCATCGTACGCGCTGGATTCTTCCATCACCTTTCTTTCTAAAATGGGTGATTAGATTTGACCTAAACGCTTCTTTATCTACTTTAGGATTCTTTTACCATACCAATACTGTAAAATTCCTTCTCGTGCTCATTGCGAAACTGATTTTGATTTAATTGTCCAAGCTGATGGAATAAAATGAGATTTGATAAAATCTGTTCAAAAGCCACTGCACTCAGCTTTCTTTTTATTTCTGTATTCTGCTGGAATTAACTCCTTAGGCGGCCGCGCACTTGCAAATAGATCCGATGAGCCTCCAGTAGCTGGTAGACATTGTTCCGGACTCATTTATGCAGAAGTAGCATCTCATATTTTCACCGCCTAATTGTTACGAATTCTTATTTTGCTAAGGTGGTTTATGTGAAGGTAACATTCAGTCTACAACAGCGTTGTCACTAACCCTTTTATCATTTGCTGGGATAACATTAAGCAACTGTCGAAGCGCCATCAACATTTGAACACGGTAGCCAGTGCATTATGCACTGCTGTCGAGATGTTGCAAACCACCAGCCAAAAACGTCGGCATCGACCCAATCTGAACTGGCCGGTGTCAAAATCGACGAGGGTCATTAACATATTTCAAGGACACATGCACCGCAATGCGTCCGCACGTCGTATTCACACCCCCAGACATGCGTGGATGAGTAAATACAGTAGACTTACATGCCATTGTTGGGTCGGCAAATTAGTGCGCTCCAATCTACACCTGACCTGCGCGTCGACTGAGCAAAAACGAAAGACTCTTCTTAAACGTACGGTAAGTCGTTGGTTAGTGGCGCAAAGTGCTGTGATTTAACGGGTTCGGATCTTGATGGAGCGGAAAAACTTCCACTGCTGCTGAGACAATCTATTGCTTTCCATGGTGTGTAAAGGGCTACCTGACTTGGGATCTTCTGCGATGAAATACATCTAGCCCTCCGCTCAAGAATACAAATATTTTGCCTTGCATTGATTCGGTCACAGGCCCATTATTTCTCACGCACTGTTAGCTTTCGCATCGCACGGGATACTATATGGCGGTTCGGTACCTTATATATAGCAAAATCGGTAAGGGATCAAGTGTTGTATGGCTTTTGCTTAACCCAAATCTTTTGCTTATTAGTTAACCCTTCATACTGCAGAGGACGACGAACGTACTACACAAAGTGCAAGTCGACTGACGCACGCTGAACTACTTGCATCATATGGAAGCGAAATTTAGTAGAATAAGTTCATCTTAACAGAAATATCTATTTCGCACGAAATGATCTAGTTCGTGTCTACCTACTTAGCTCTTTCCTTTCCACTGGCAGCCTGTACTTATTTCAAAGTATCCATGCATCAATATTTACAAACATAAGGTCATATCAAGCTCTGACGTTTTGGATTGATGAACAGCGCACAGTTCGGACTGAGTGACAATCGCGTTTCGAATGACCTACCTCCAATCAGTCCAACTCACTCATGTTTGCATTCTGTGCAAAAGCAGAAACATCCTCTGCTGCCCCCCAACGACAAGCATATCCTGGCCGGTCAGACTACAGCGAAAAAGGCAGGTACTGATACTGCACCACTGGATGGACTGCCTGCACTGAACCCGCGTTTCACTTCTGCTCAAACCGAAGCAATCAGCGCTACTGCCTCCTTGGCATTCCCATGCCTCTCATCACTAACTTCTGGTCCCGTTACCCCCACTGGTAAGCCGACGGTTGTTGACCACGGTAAAGCCCCAAATACCAAGACTTATGCATCTGTAGCGAAGGATGGTGCGCTATTGTCCTCGCCAGTACGAGTGGCTGAAAGTAAGGGCAAGACTGCTCTCAAGATGAAAAGCAAACCATTGTCTTCACCATCGCAGTTGAAGCTAGTTTTGGATAGAGTCGGTCAGCTGGAAAAGCTGCTTAAGGAGGGTCCACCTGCCCACAAATCGCAGATCCCTGTTAATAACAAATCACCCTCTCGTGCCCGTTGTCTAATCATCGTAAATGCTCCTGAATCGCCCAAAACCACTTAAGCTGAACGAAGTATGGATGATCAAGAGTTTAAAAAACGCGTGATCTCCCTACTGCTCAATGATGGTGAGCCAGGAATCAACATCGTCTCGGCTTTCCGCCTTGGAAAGAAACAGGAGGACTCCTCTAAGGTCCGTCCCATGAAGATTGTATGTCAAAACAATGATGAAGTCCATCGCATTATCCGACGAACTCCGAGTCTTAAAGGAGAACCATTTTCCGTACTACGAGAACTCTCTCCGGAGGACCGAGTAAAAATGAAGAAAGCAGTTGATGAACTCAGATGTCGTCGTGATAATGGTGAGACGGACCTACATCTCGTGGCTTTTTGCGTGGTTCGAAAAACGCCAAGAACTCGTTGGAGGCCACTCCTTGTAATGCCCGGGCGTTAGAGTTGAAGAATGAACTGCGCGTAATTGCTTCCAATGTGCGCACTCTCAGAAACAAACTAGACAAAGTTCAGCTTTTTGCCTCTATGAATCTGCCGGATCTTATAGCTTTCACCGAAACCTGGTTGTCCTCGGATATCTTGGACTCGGAGGGGCAGATCCCTGGATACCACCTTTACCGGGCAGACCGCCATGAAGGAAGACCTAGGGGCGGCGTGATACTTTACTGGAAGACGGACTTCAAAGCCCATATGGTTGAAGCTACCTGTGGCAGCGAAGGCGACTTCGAACCTCCATGGTGCCGTGTTCATGACGCATGCGGATCTCTCATGGTTGGTGTTGTCCACAGGGCCCCATCGGGTTCCGGAGCTTGTCTGCTGGACGCGATCAAAATGCATGGTGGAGGCAAGGATTGTTTATTACTGGGTGACTTTAATGCCCCGGATATCGACTGGGACCAACTACATTGTGTTCCCACTTCAAACGCTTTAGATTTCGCTCTTTTAGAGACGGTTATTGAATGTAACGTATTCCAACATGTCACAAAGCACACTCGTATAATTGCAGGACAAACACCCCATATCCTTGAACTTTTACTCTCACCGGCACAATC